GCGGTTGCAGCAGCAGCTGCTGCTGTTGCTGCGGCTGGTGTTGTCGTTGCCGCTGCTGCTGTTGTTGCTGCTGCTGTTGCTGCTGCAGGGCACATGTCTTGAAATCCTTAGCAGCTAGTCCAGCAGCAGTTGCTGCTGCTGCTGGTGGGTGTCGTGTGTGGTGGGGTTGTTATTGCTGCTGCTGCTGCTGCTGCTGCATGCATGCATGCAGCGGCAACGGGGCCCTCTTGACGTTGCTGCTGCTTGCTGCAGCAGCATTACCCTCGGAATTCTTTAAACCCGAATAGTCATAGAAAGTCAATAGGAAGCAGAAGCAAACAGCAGAAACTCTGCAGCAGCAGCTGCAGCAGCAGCAGCAGCAGCCGCCGCTGCAGCGAGCACAGGCAGCCACAACTCACGCCAGCAGCAGCTGGAATCCTTCTTCCTTTGTTGCTGCTGTTTCATGCTGCAGTGTTTGCAAAGGTAGGAGCAGCAGCAGCTGTGTGCTGCAGGGCCGCGAGCAGCTGCAACAGCAGCAGCAACGGCAGCAGCAGCAGCAGCAACAGCAGCAGCAGCAGCGAGTGGGCAGTAACCAGAGATGAACAGCATTAATGACGAAGGCCTACGACTTTTCTTTCTTTTAACAAACCCCAGCAGCAGCAGCAGCAGCAGTATCAGCAGCAGCAGCAGCAGCAGCTGAATTCCCGAGTGAGACAGCAGCACCAGCAACAGTAGCAACAGCAGCAGCAGCAGCAGCAGCAGCAGCTAAGATGGGGAAGAGCAGCAGACGTGCGCGGCGAAAGGAGCAAATATACGGCTGCTTCGGCGGCAGCAGCAGCAGCGATGAGGGTCCTGGGGTTCCTGCTGCTGCTGTTGCTGGCGGTGGTCGCAGCAGCAAACGCAGGAGGCGCCGCAGCAGCAGCAGCAGCAGCAGCAGCGAAGATGGAGGCTCAGGGCCCATTCAATTTGTAAAGGGTGGAATGCTGCACCCGGAAGACCCTGACGAGAGCAAAAAGAAAAAAAGCAGCAGCAGCAGCAGCAGCAGCAAGAAGAGCAGCAGCAGCAGCAGCAAGCCGCGTGACACAGCTCCTGAGCCGTTTGCTTTTGATAAAAGTCAGCTGAAGCTCTCCATTAAGAAACCTCGCGGGGAGGAGCAGCAGCAGCAACAGCAGCAGCAGCAGCAGCAGCTGAGCAGCAAGGATGCACATGTGCTGCAGCAACTGGGTCTTGACTACTCGGAGAGCGAAGACGAGGCGAGCAGCAGCAGGCAGCAAAAGCAGCAGCAGCAGCAGCAGCAGGAGGACGAGAGTGGTTCTGGTGACGATGCAGCAGCAGCAGGAGCAGAAGAAGGTGCTGCAGACGCTGCATCTAGGGCATCTGAGGGTGAAAACATAGATAGCGAGAGCAGCAGCAGCAGCAGCAGCAGGAGCAGGAGCAGCAGTCGGAGCCGGAGCATATCTCCAGAGTTTGTTTTTAAGCCATCATCATCATCATCATCAGCTCAGCAAGATAATAATCAGCAGCAGGATGAAAATAATAACAATAAGCAGCAGCAGCAGCAGCAGGGCTGGTGCACAGCAAAGATGCAGCAAGTGTACGGCAAGGGCTTTGAGCTGCTGCAGCAGATGGGCTTCAAAGGCGGTGGATTAGGCAGAGAGGGCAGAGGCCTCGTGTCGCCTTTAGCTGTTAAACTCCGCAAGAAGAACAAAGCGCTGCAAAACACAGGAGAAAGGCTGCGCCCAGGAGAACAAGGCGCCGAACCCATCAAGGTGCTGCTGCTGCTGCTGCTGCTGCTGTTGCTGCTGCTGTTGCTGCTGGTGTTGCTGTTGTTGTTCCTGTTGTTGTTGTTGTTGTTGCTGTTGCTGCTGGTGTAGTTGGGCTGCTGTTGTTGATAGTTGAGCTGCTGCTTCTTTTGCTCCTGATGCTGCTGGTTGGGCTGCTGCTGCTGCTGCTGCTGCTGCTGCTACTGTAGTTGGGCTGCTGCTTCTTTTGCTGCTGGTGCTGCTAGTTGGGCTTCTGCTGCTGCTTCTACTGCTGCTGCTGCTGCTGCTCGTTGGAGGTTGGAGTTTAATTTGCTGTTGTTTTTGTGTTTTTCTGTTGTTTGTGCCCGTGTTGCTGCTGCTGCTGCTGCAGGTTGTGCCGGAGCCTGCTGCTGCTCCTGCATTATTCAGATGGCGTGAGACAGCAGCAGCAGCAGCAGCAGAACCTGCAGCAGATGGAGGGGTGCAGCGGCTTCAGGGAGTATCGCAAGACTGGAGAAGAGGAGAGAGAAGAAGAAAGCGGGTTGTAAGAACAGCAGCAGAGATTGCTGCAGAAGGTCGCATGCTGCAGCAGCAGCAGCAGCAGCAGCAGCAGCAGCAGCTCAGGGTAATTGATATGACTGGACCCCAAGTGAGGCTGCTTGAAAATGCTGCAGAAGTTGGAGAGGCGCTGCGGCAGCAGCAGCAGCAGCAAATGCAGCAGGAGGAGGCGCTGCGGCTTAACGGAAGCAGCAGCAGCAGCAGCAGCAGCATGAAGCAAGGCAGCGACATCCCGCTGCAGCTGCTGCAGCAGGCTCTAAGGCAGCAGATAAGAAAAGTAGAAAGAGAGCTTCAGCAAATTGCTGCGCAGAAGCACCAGCAAGAGCAGCAGCTTCTTGATGCTGCAGCACAAAATGAACAGGAGCAGCAGGAGCAGCAGCAGCGCCACATTGCAGCAGAACACACTCACCAACTTGCTGCTGCTGTGAGGTCCGCGTACACCCGAATCAAACAGCGCAGCAGCAGCAACCAGCAGCAGCAGCAGCAGCAGCAGCAGACAGACCGCTGGAGCGACGATGAAGCTCAGCCACAAAGCAGCAGCAGCAGCAGCAGCAGCAGCAAGGAAGAAGCAAAAGAACCAGAGTATGAGCATTTGACTGATATGAGCCCTAAAGCTTTGCTGCAGGAAGTGAAGAGATGGCGAGACACCTGGCGTGAGGCTTTCTTTGAGCTGCATGCAGCAGCTGCTGCTGCAGCATTGCTGCGGCTGCTGCTGCAGCAGATTTGCAGAACCTGGAAGCCCTTAGAAGCAACAGCACCGAAGTTTGCTGCTTCTGTTGGGCAGTGGTTTGGGGTGTATACGAAGCTGCACAAAGAAGAAGAGGAGTTGTGGGTGCAGAAGCTGCAGCAGATGCAGCAGCAGCAGCAGCAGCAGTTGTTGCTGTCGCAGCAGCAGCAGCAACAGCAGCAGCAGCAGCAGCTTGTAGCTGGGCGCACTTATGATTTGCTGCAGGAGGGTGTTGAGGAGACAGTAGGCTTTCATATACGCCGAGAGTTGCTGAATGTATGGGAGCCTACTGCTGCTGCTGCTGCTGCTGCTGCTGCTACTCTATTCGAGAACTGGCTGCCTTCGCTGCCAGCTAATTCAGGTTTGCTGCTGCTGCAGGAGCCTGCAGCGCAGCAGCTGCGGCGAGCCTTAGACTTGTGGGACCCCACAGCCTCCACAACCAGCAGCAGCAGCAGCAGCAGCAGCAGCAGCAGCAGCAGCACACCTCTGCATAAGTGGCTGCTTCCTTTTGTATCTCTGCTTCCTCGAAGGTTAGCAGAGAGAGATTTGCTGCTGCCGCTGCAGCAGAAGCTGGTGAATGTGCTGTCTGTACACTGCAAAGCTGAAGACAGAAGCTGCATTGCTTTGCTGACGCCGTGGCGCAAGGTGTTCAGCAGCAGCATGTGGAGTGATTTGCTGCAGCGAGGAGTAGTGCCGCAGCTGCTGCAGCGGCTGCAGCAGCTGCAGATTAAACCGCAGCAGCAAGACTTAACCCCTATGAGAGATGTGCTGCTCTGGGAGCCTCTGCTGCCTGTAGATCTGCTTGCAAGAGTGCTGCACTCTGCTTTCTTTCCTCAGCTGCTGCATGTGCTGCGGCTTTGGGTAGCAGCAGCAGCAGCAAATACAACAGAAATAAGAAGCTGGTTTGCTTCTTGGAGGTCGCTGCTGCCACCCCCGCTGCTGCAGCACCCAATTGTTGAAAGAGGTTTTAAAGAAGCACTTAAACTCATAGCAGCAGGACCTGCTGCTGCTGCTGCTCAACTGCAGCAGCAGCAGCAGCAGCAGCAGCAGCAGCAGCAACAGGGGATGGTTTTCGGTTCTGATGCGGCGTATGCGGGTTCATCAGCAGCAGCAGCAGCAGCAGCGATGTGGCAGCAGGAGCAACTGCAGCAGCAGCTGCAGCAGCATCAGCAGCAGGTGCTGCTTCCTCCTGCTCCTGCTGCTGCACCTCCTCCTACCCCTGAGCAGCAAATGAAGGCTTCGCTGCTAGAGTTGCTGCAAGGAGCAGCAGCAGAAGAAGGGCTGTCTATTAGGCCTAAAGTAGGCAGAGTAGAGAGAGGGTTTCAAGTGTATATACTTGCAAACATATTATTTTATATCGATAAAGATATTATCTTCGCTAAAAATAAAAGCAAGGCTCAGTGGGAGCCTGTTGCTGCAGATGTGCTGCTGCAGCTAGCAGCTAAACATAAAAAATAAATAAATAAATAAATATATATATATATATATTTATTTATTTATTTATTGTTTAATATTATTTATTTACTTCTCTTCAACTGCGTCTTCAAAGAACTATTAACTATTTATTTATCTTCATGCAAGCCGGGTCATAGTAATATATTATATATTACTTATATTAAATATATATATAATATAATATATTATTTATATTAAATATATTTAATAATATTATTATATATTACTTATAGTATGCTTATTATATATGTATATTATATATTACATATATTTTGTATATTATATACATATTATAAATCTTATATTATTTGCAATGTATATATATATATATATATTATATATATTATATATAATATATATATCTCTATTTATATATATAATATATTGTAATATATATGTAATGTGTTATATACATATGAAGTTTAATATATATTATATATTATATATATTATATGTAGATTCTTATGTATGTGTATTTATTTAAACGTATATAAATTATATGTATAATATACATTATATATCATATTATACATACTATC